TTTGTACCGTGTTGGCGTTTTAAAGTTCTCAAGTTGTTAGTTAAAGGTCTCTAGATACTTATTAAATAAATTAATGAGCCTTGATTTTAAATTTTATTTTAATTTTAAATTAATTTATTAAAGTATACAAATAATACAATGTAAATAAATGATAGTATTTACATATATAAACGTATTTACATATATATTTACATATATAATACGTATTTACATATATAAACATACATATGGAAATTTCTATAGTTTTTATTTAAGAGATAGCTTATTTCTTATTCATAGATTCAAAGAAAAAACTTTCAACAAAAATAGAACTCTTATAGCACTCTTTGTATCCTATTAATTTTCCTATTTTCAAACTTTCATGTATATTTTAACGTAGATAAATATCCACAGTAAATTATTTTATTAAGTACAGTTACGTACAGGCAAATAATATGTATTAAACGAAGAAATAATATGTTTACCAGGGCAGATCACCACGACATTGATCAGAATAATCGCGTTAACAGTCAATGACATTCGTCAGCTTGTGCTCATGTTTCCTTAAATATTATGGAGCGTTCGGACTTTATCTACCTGGCATCAAATTTATGCTAACGACTCAGAACGAGAGTATCGAATAGCGAGGCGCAAGGAAGGAGACGTGGAGAATAGAAAGAACGCGAGGTTCAAAATCTCGATCGAGTTCTCAGGCAGCCTGCATAGATTCTAAAACCTGTTTCTCTGGTGCACTGTTTACAGCGTTCTCTTATAAGAAAAGCGTCATTTGACGATAAAACTTTAATACGAAGTACGTGTAAAAATATATTATAGTATAATTAATAATGTACGCGCGAGTGAAACTATGTGGAGGAAGAGGAACAATGAAGAAATTATGTGCTCAATCGTGCTCGAATAATACGTGTCATGTTAACCGCACCGAACCCAAGCCTTTCAAAGACATTCCAGGACCAAGATCCTTCCCCGTTATTGGGACGCTTCATAAATATCTGCCTTTCATCGGTAAAAATGACATTAAAAATGGCATTTTGATGATTGATTAAAAAAATTTATTATTACTATAAATTTTTGAATTAGAACTCCGATTTACATGAAAACTGCTACTATATTTTGCATATTACAAATGTAATACTTGCTCACGTCTCTCTTAAATATCGATAAATTAATCTTATTGAATTAATTTTATGTGTCAACGGTACAGGCGAATACAATTTCAAGAAGCTGCACACGAACGGCTTGTTGAAGTTAAAGCGTTACGGACCTTTGGTACGTGAGGAAATAGTACCGGGTCAGCCTGTCGTGTGGGTGTTCCGACCGGAAGATATCGCGGAAATTTTCAAAGCTGAGGCGGGTATGCATCCTAAGAGAAGATCACACTTAGCTCTCTTAAAGTATCGAAAAGACAGAAGTGATGTGTACAACACCGGGGGTCTTTTACCCACGTAAGAATTGTCCTCACAATTAATTACTTTATCAACAAAATCACTATTTATCACAAATTTGTAAGAATTGTTATACACTGAGAAAAAAAATTGATATTGTACAAACTAAATTTGTATAGTTGTTTGATCCAATGATTGATTCAACAATTCTTTAGTGCACAAAAAAAGTATAGTTCATTCATGTCAACCATCAAAAATTTTTAATCACGAATTAATTAAACCAACTCAATTAAATTATTTTGTTCGAAATACTAGTAGTATTATTTGTGTTTGCATGCTATTTAGTTATCCAAGTAATATATTTGTTCACATTCCAAATATTAAACTGACTAAACGATGC